ACGGAGGAGGATCAAAGAGAGGAGGAGGAGGCCTGGAAAGCATCGGGCGACGGCGGAGCAACCGTGAGGTGAGTAATTATTATTCATTTATTTTTTCGCTGTCCTGTGGCGGATTTCGCCACTTTTGAGGTTAAAACGGGGAGCACACACTTCTGCACAACGCATAATGCGTAAACATAAGAAAACTGATTGATCATTGATCTATTTCCTTATGCACATGTGTATGGGCCAATCAATTTTCTTATGCTTACGCATTATGCGTTGTGCAGAAGTGTGTGTCCGGTATTTCTGCCGGAGTTCGATCTCCGGCATATGCAAGAAGAAATATTACGTCGCGAACGTCGCGTCTCTCTCTTATTCACATGCACGGTCGTAATATTATTTGAACTCTTTCGCGGATTAATTATGCGAACGAGTTAATGCGGAAATATGCAGCCGCTTGCGGCGGCCGCGATTGTTTCTTGCATTTTAAAATCAGATATTAAATTTTTTTTTAATTTAACGGATGCAATATAATTATTTACTTTAAGTATTGATCGAATATTATTTTGGACTTTGTTCTAATGTAAAAATATTTATATGTTTCAGATCAACGCAGAGTTCCAACTCCGCTGTTGCGCATCGGTCGGTGAGCTATTTTTTTATTTCAATCCATCGATCGAGGCAATGGATTTATAAAAATATATCAAACATAAATAAAATGTATGTATGAGAAATGAGATGTTATGGAAAGAATCACGAACAGTCTTTTTTTTTAACAATTATTAGACATTGTATCAAAATTTTTATTTAAAAAATGATAACTAATGTATATATAGCGGTAAAGTGTTCTGTATTACTTAATCTCTGTATTACTGAAATATCTTTATTGAATATATTATTTATTCTGTAATAACATACAGTTATATTACAGAAAAAATTAAAACATTAAAGATTAAGAATATAAAAATATATTTCAAGTGAATTAATATATTATATTATAATCTATTGCCTCGAAATGGATATGGATGATAGATTCTCTCTCTAGAATCTAGAAAATTTTTTCATAATTTGTAACCCTCTGTCGACTTTTTATTATACAAGTTTACGCGCACTCACAAGAGAACGGTCGGAACTATTCCTCGCCGATTTTGATGGGCTTTGGATATATGTTGTAGAGTATAAAAAAATATTAAACCCATATTTTTTTTAACTGCTTATCTCAACGTTTAGGGGTTGAAACAACTTCTTGAAAATAACAGATTTTGTATTTTTAGCGAATATCTTTGAAAATATAAAGTATATGAAAAAATGTTTTATACAAAAGTTTTATGGTTCTTTATGCTCTTTGTCATGATATAAAACATTTTTTCATATATTTTATCAAAGATATTCGCTGAAAATGAAAAAAATCCGTTATTTTCGAGGGATCGTTTCAACCTCTAAACGTAGAGATAAGCAGAGATAAAAAAAAATATGAGTCTGAATATTTTTTGATGCTCTACAACATATCCAAAGCCCATCAAAGTCGGTAAGAGACAGTTCCGACCGTTTTCCTTATAAGATACGCGCTGAAATGTGTAATTAATGTGTTATAAATATACGGTTGACGTTTTAACCGTTAGAGATAGTACTTAGCAGATAAATTGTAGCTCGTGAAGACGTTCATGAAAAATACCACGTAAGTTTCAATTATGTAATTCTTTTTGTTGCCTTATAATTTCGTACTTTGAACGAATTCCAACGCAGCGTAAATCGACATCATAATATCCCATTAGAAAGAAGGTTGAATATTTTTCGTGGACGCAAAAATTATATTAAAAAATTTAATAAAATATAAAAGTTTATTTTCTTGTCCGAGACTCGCATAATTACTTCGGAACGGTTTCAATTGGTCGCGTCAGCGTTTGTCTTAAGTTTGCACTACCCCTATTTCTTTCAAGGGTGCCGTTTAGGCTCGTCGTTTCTGCCCTCGAACGATTTCGACACGAAGACAACCCCGCGCGGTAGGTAAACGCGCACGCATTGCGGACGACAGCTGTCAAATAAATGTTAAAAAAAGCGCTAGCCGAGCGAAATTTCGAGTGGGACGTGAGCGAAGAAGGGTGCGTGCCCACCCCTAGTGAAATACCCTTAGCCCGCGGGGCAAAAGGCTCTGCACAATTTTTCCAGAGTTCGCTTCTCCCTGCAACGGGCGGTCGATAAGTCACCACTAGACTAACTTCGCGGCAAGGTCGTCGGCCTTGTCTCGGAAATCATGCTCAACGATTTTTTTTCTATATTATAAAAATAAAATTGTGTAGGAGCACTTTTTATTCTTTCATAATTCCTCAGCGAGAAAATTTCATGCTGATCTTATTGTTAATTGTCACATGTGAAGTAAATAGTAGAGTAAATATGCTTATTTAAGATCATTATGTTTGTATAATTTCTATTTTACAAAAATTATATTGAAAAGAATAATAATAAGTTAATTTGTGAATTAAATTATAAATTATAATCGATGCAATGCGCAGATGTATAAATATTGTTCAATTTTATTTGTTACACAAATAGATATGTTTGATTAAATATATCAAACTTTATAAAATACATATAAAATACCGCAGACTTTTAAAACGCGATAATCGATTCGTGTCAATCAAGTTGTTTCCGATTTGTAAACCTGACGCGCGTCCAAATTTTCGAAATAAAAACGTCAGAACGCTTCATTACGTTTACTCCGCGACGTGGGATGCGTTTCGCCTTTCTGAATTTAACGAAGTAACGAAAGCTAAAAGTCCCTCGACAGTCTGGAGCTCGTGGCGCTAGACACCGAGGAAGGGTGGCGACACGACGCTGAGGGGCAAATTTTCGAGGGTGGTTTCGCGCGTCAATGGTTTATTAAGAAGCACTTGTTTAAAGGCAGCCCCTTTCAGATCCGACAGCCAATTCGACCACGACGTTTGTGTCACTCGGATATATAAATGGATGAAACGGGCGGAGGTGGCTGGCTTGGTTCGCTTCGGGCTGCGCGCGCGGGCGCGGCGGAACGGTCGAATCCACCCCACGGCAATCCGTCGTGTCGCCGTAATTGAAGTTATTGCAATATTGTGTCCTGTCAACCCCGCTATCCTCGCTATCGTCCTATTTCTCTCCACCTCGCGCGGCCCGCTTTGCCATCTTCATTGTCTTTGGACGCGGTGTCAAGTTTCGCGAGATCGCATAACGCGTGGTGAATAACGTTAATTTTTCTGTCGCTTCACAAATGTAGCCTCTAATAGACTGTAATTAACTTATTCGAATATTTTTGAAATTTCAACGGTACGTTAAAGAGAATTAAATCATTCTCAAAGGCTTTATGTCACTGATAAGCAATGATTTTTCGCATTTTAATTACTACAGAATACAATTATCAAATAATTAGAATCCAATTTCGTGAATTGTCGCCACAATTTTTACATTTAGTACTCCAATTGTGTCGCTGCAAATCGCGATGTTGCATAGTAGCGTCAGGAATCACAGTACAGAACGAAAGCGTTCTTTCGGAGAACAGCACTTTCAGCGCAAGTGCCCAAGGCGAAGTTAACTTTATCCTCGCTTAATCGCCTTTTCGATAGGTACGAGGCGATCCCTTTGTTCAGACAATATCTCCACACGCTACCCCCGCTAATGTATGCACCGAGCCTCCATCTCTCCCTCCGGTCCTCGCGATGACTCCGGCACTCCTAACCCCATAGCCGCCACCACCCCATACGGGAAGCGACGGAGACGAGGGAGAGACCTCGTACTCGTTCGCCTTTATTGAATTTTGGGACCGTTCCAGTTGGAGGAGAGAAGTACCGCGAGAGAGGAAACGAGAGACGCCCGCGTGCACGCGCGAGGAAAGACGGAGAGGGAAAAAGGGCTCCGGGATGGCCTGTGGGGTGCGAGCCAGAATTAATTCACATCCCGCTGCATTGCTTTTTACGATATAACTGCGGTTTGTTAGTCGTTATTCACGGTACGAATTCAATTTCATGTCCGGCTCGCAGGCTAGAAACAGAAGCGGCAAGCCTTCCGATGCTCTCTCGTTCTGCGGGAGACTTGCATTCACCACATGTGACAATAAGCATTAACGAAAAAGAGCGAAGAAGAAAATAAAAATGTTTTAAAAACTTAAATTCAAATAACGAATGGGATTACTCCGTTGAATTACTTTCATAAAGAGAAAATTTTGAAATGGTATAAATTCGGAAAGCGTAAATTTTTTTATATTATTATATATAAAACATTTGACACAAAATTGCTTTTACATATAGATCACTGTAACAAGCATTCATGGAAACAAAATTTAAATAAAGATCGATTCTAAATTTTATCCTTTAAATAAAATATAATTTGTTGGTATCATATCTTACAATGATTCATGATATATATCAATAGTCTGGGAAAACACAAGCGAGAGGTTCTCGCGATCGTAAGACATGTTCCGGTCAACACGTGGTCCTGTGTGTCACGTGGGAGCGCCGTGAGTGAAAAATCGAGTGGCGGCGAACGCGTTACCTATTTCACGTTACGTTAAATTGCTCGTTGGAACGCTGGCGAATGCTTTTCGACCGGTTACGGATGGCGCGATAAAGCACACCGACTAACGCGAGATACGACCAATTAGCTCGTGTGCCAAGTATACGATTTAAGCGGGCTGGCGGAACCCCGGAGGCATTGCCAAACGACGATTTAAGTCGACATCTTGTGGCAAAGAAAGGGGGATGTGCCGCGTATTGTCTGTCGCGGATAATGATCTACGATATCATTTATCCTGCATCAAAGAGTTATTCCTTTATATATCTTATCTTGATTCTTTTCTGTAAGATAACTATTATTCATAAATCTGTAGAATGGAAAAATGATTTTCAAGTAAAATTTTCCTCATAAATAATACTGAACGACAATATATCTCATTTTTGCATGAGAAAATATTTAATAATTTTTTTTCTGCGATAGAGAGTAGTTCAATAAGCTATTACAGAATGATTATAAATAATACTGTATACACTCACCCCACGTGATCGTCACCGGTGTCGAAGCAACCTTTTCGACTTCTCTCTATCCTTTTCATTCTCCTCCATCTCCTCCTTTTTCTATCCTAGGAACCGTCTACCACTTCTCCTTTTCTATATCCCTCCCAATCACGGTTGACATCCCCACCGCCTACCGGAGGAACCCCCGCGGTCAGGCAGGGAAGGGGCACGGGCTACCACGTGATCCATGTGACCGGAACCGCACGAGACACGCAACGATATACTGACTATACTGTCACACGCGATGCGTCCAACCACTTTCTTTCGTTTATCGTCCCGCCATTTTATCGCAATTCGCTCGATTCACGGTATCTCCTCTTCGCTGAATCTCCGCTCTTTTGTTACTTCTTTCCTCCGCGTTCCATGGAAAACGAACGACGAACACGTGTAGCGAATTTCCTCCGCTCTTTGACCTCTGTCTCCCTCTCCCTATTCTCTGCCTCTCTCGAACCCTCTCTACCTCTCTCTATTTTTTTATTTTTACCCCCCTCCCCTTTCTTGCTACTCTCGCGGCTGCTGCCGTGGAGCGTGCTTTGCCAGCGACTACTATCTGCCGCGTAGCGAGTCGACCGCGGGACTTTGGTATACTGGGAGTATGGTAAGTAGATACACCCCTGCCACCGCCGCCCCCTCCCCCGTCCCTTCGGGGAACCCATGCGTTCCCCCGCTGCCTCCCGCCGGGCCCCGCCGACGGCCTCCCCCGTTCTCCGATCTCCCGCCGTCACAGGTCGCAGTTGCTACCGCGTTGTCCTCTCACCACTCTCCTATCCGGCGAACCGTGCTTTGCCGCCCCTCTCGTGCCGCCTCCACGTTTTGCTCGCGAGGCTCCAGGGACGTATCAACTGTCGATTTATCGGAATGTCGTTTTTTTTATAGGCCTATACTAGGCAAACCTCGATGTCTCGTAACGACAGCCCGGGTGCATCTCGAACGAATGGGTCGACCTACTACCCTTAACTAGGACGTAAAGCTGTGATATCGCGTCGCAACATCCTAAAAACATAGTCTTCTAGTGTTCAATCTGACCATTTTTAATAAATATTAATAATATAATTAACCCTAATCAATAATAATATAATTAACTGTCTTAAACTTTTTCATAGAGACCAAGCTTTGTCATCTATTTTCACTCAAAAGGGGTTTTTATCGGGTTTTTATCGATGCGTCGTGCGCGATCTTTTTGTGGATATATTTATATACAACGTATATTCTTTGTCATCTTTAGTTGGACAGTGTCCATGAGAAACGCAGATAGAGAAGATACGAAGGTACCGCTTACGTTGCCAAAGTAACGTCGATCGATTCCACTGGCATCGGTAAACAGCTGAATTTGGGTACGGTAAGGGAAGATCACGGCCCTGGAAGATCGCCACCACTACCGCGCACTGGCAAACGTATAAAAGACAGCGTTTGCATGCTAACATATCTATTATAATGGCGACGTCGTGCCTCTTGCTCGCGCACACCGGCACGCACGCTCTGTCGCCGTTGCACTTACGCTCTCCTCCCTCTCGCTCATTCTTCCGCGGTGCATTCCGTCTCACTTCGCCGCGCGCATAAATTACCGCTTTCAAATGCAAAAGTATGAATGAGATAAAGTTCCCCGGTGATCGTTTTTCCTCCCACCGCGACGCGACACCCTCGCTCTCACTCTCTTTTTCTTTTTCTTACGTCTCTGTGTCACTTATCTTTGAGAACTGATTACATGCATTACCACCAGGTCGATTACAATAGGAACTTATTTTGTATCCTTATTTGTAATACCTTTGTGTGTGTTTCTTCTTTTTCTAAAGTAATCCATAATATTAAGATAAAAATGATACGTTCCAGTTTCGAACTATAAATGAGTTATAAATTGAAATTTAGAACTCCACTGGCGGATAGATAAGATAATAAAACACTATTATAAGGTTTGTTATTGTTATTTTTAACTGACGTTAATGTCTTACATAGAAGTTGCAGCGATGAGTTTCAACATCGCCGAGAAATACGATATAAATAGAATATTCGTTAAAAACTGTTAATATCAATGTTCTCCTGGAAATATTTAGAAGAACGAAGTTTTAATCTAACAGTATACACACAATTTTAGAAAGATTTTAAGTGATTGCATAACATAAAAAATAGCGCGTTGCAGGAACGCGATACAATTGTTGTCACGTAAGTTTCGAAGATGTTGGAAAGTATTCGGGAACCATGCAAGTGAATAAAAGCGGACGCATGCTGTACTAATAGGTATGCGAGCGGTGTTCCATAATCTGAGTCTCCCTCTACGATATCCATTTATAGAATAATAATAATAATTCCGCAGCCAACGAGGTTCCGCTAATGTCGTCACGTTAGATAGTTACAGTCATCCGGTCCCGTAATAAAAGGGTAGATGTGCGCGTCATCCGCGCTGGAGTCTAATCCCTTCGTCCAAAATTCGTCATAAGCTACGGATAATACCGGATAGTACGGATCGATGACGCGTAGCGGTTCCTCGCTAAACAATCGCTGATTATTCTTGAGTTCATTAAATCAATAACGAAATAAAATTTCGAACTCTGCCGGCTGATACGTTATCGCATTTAATTGACATTCTTTACGTAGGATGGTAGTTACGGGCAGCGAAAGATAACGCTTCTGTCAACGTACGCACGTCCGTTTATGTTAATCAGGCATGTGACGTCACTGGCAGCCCCAGCGACGCGCAATATCAACCCCTAACTTTGTCGCAAGCAACAAAATGTGCACGCAGAGCGTATCACGGTCCCGCCGTAACGATCCCTCTCCCCACCGACCCTGCCTTTCCTCCTATACACCCTTTGTCGACGTTAACCCAAAGTGAATGGTCCTACACCGCCCGTTGCAGCGATGGGTTTTAACTTCGGGGTGACTTACTCCGAGCGTTATCTATTTTGACAGCGCGGTACGCCCGCGGTCTGTCGTGGGGTCGTTGTAGAGGGGCGTCGCGGTAATTGTGTTTTAACTACGCGGTACATCGCCGCGATAGCCCCGTTGTCCATTGTTTCAAACCGTCATAAAATATTCTTCGACGCACGTTGTTGCGCCATTAGGAAATAACGAAAATGGCCCCCGAGGAATGACTTCTCTATATCAGAAAACACGGCGTAACTTTGTTATCGTTATAACCAAATCTGTAAGGTAATAAAGAATGATAGGTCATCCGTTTTTTTTTATTTCATTACAATGCTATCATTTTTGCGCCAGAGTGCCTAACTTGCAAATTAACGATAAACGGCATACGCGATACGTATATGCCAGCCGCCATTTGCGTCGATTTTATAAAACTACGGTGTGTAAGCTATATAGGAAACATGGGCGGATCCTATACAATATGGCATTCAATTTGCGACGGATTCGCTGTCTGGCAACGCAAACAACCGCTATTGGGTTTCATTTAATGAACCAAGCCAGAGCCTTTGGAAGCATTTTTGTGCTGTGGGCTCGGCTTAAATTGAACGTCCTCCCCTTTCTCTTTCATCCGTTGCCTACCTTCGCTCATTTTATATCTACTTCCTGCGACTTACGCCTCGATAGCTCGACCTGATACAGGAAGCTGCAGCCGTTTTATCGACAGTCAGAACGTGTTTGTAGAATTAAATTACAAGGTAGAAGATCAAAGATCAAAGTAATAAAAGCGAGAAAAAAAATTTTTGGCTTTAACGTGAGACTTGGCTTTAACGTCTGTTTTTCAGGAAGGCCATATCCCTTTTTCGTTTTCTGTCGCAAATAAAGTTGATTACTTTTCGATAGGTTGCGTGTTTCTACGAACACACGCCGGACACCCCGAGAAAATTTGAGCCTCGTTAAAAATATTACAGCTTACAAGACAATCCTCTTAAAAGTGCTGCGGGGTGTGGAAGTGCGGACGGGGGAGGGGAGTTTCGAGGGGACAGGGGGATAGAGCAGGAAGGGAGTGTGAGAAGCCCGGCACCAGTATCGGCGCCGTATCGTTCCACCGCGCAAGTGTCCGGTAAGGTAAGCGGATCCACGATAATCCGGATTACGTATTTGCCCGGTTCTCTACCTTCTGCCATCTCGATCTCACGCCAGTCGGAGAGCCAAAGACGTATTTGCCTCGTGGCATCGTACCGTCTGCCGTCTGTAATCTGTTTAACGCTTTACGAATGGCAGCCGGTCGTTTCGCGAAGCCGCGAAAACGCGTGTACACGTATATATATATATAATCAATATCATTATCATGACGTGTAACCGTGGTTAAGAGCATCTAGGAAAATTTTGATTTCTCCTTCGTCAATTACGACATTCTCTCGAGAACACGTGTAGTTTGCGGTTATTACAAAACACGCGTCCTTGGCTGAATGAATGATTTATTACAGGTATCTAGGTGAAATCGTATAATCGTTATAACTTTAAGGTTTACGGAATTACAAAAAAAAAACGAGGAATCAATCAGTAAATCGCGTTTATAATGTTTTACAGTCATTCTTATGTAAATATAAGAGATATATAAGAGAGAAAATAATTTATATATTTACAAAAATTTTAAATTTTTTATATGGAATTTAAAATACTTCAGATAGTTTTTTATTTAAATATTCTAGTTTAAATATTCTTGCCCTAAATTTTGTTCGCCATACTCTCGTTTCCGTCAAATAGCGCATTGGCGCATGACTACAAAGAGAAACGTAATTTTTAACCGGATTTGCACATTCATATCTCTTCTTTGCGGACACGCGCGGGGTCTCAACATCGATCGGTTGCGATCTTTAAACAGCGCCATTAACGATTGCGTGCACAGGCTGAGGGGGTCGCGATCAAATGAATATGATGAAAGAGTGGCGGCATTAGGTGAACGTGCCGTGCATACTGATTTGCGGCTGATTGATTGGACCCCTTTCCACTCGACAACGCCGCGCTACCGCGGCTCGACTCCCGCCCCCTCGATTTCACCCCATGAGTGAACCAACATCGTTGATAATATCAATCGAACGGCTGGTATTCGGGAACGTCGATGACGAATAGAAATTAATAATTGTGAAATAAAACCAGGAGACGATATCAGTTTTTGATAAAAGTGCTACGAGAAAAACCATCCTTAATTATTTATAACTCGCTAATTCTTCAGGTGAACTCCGGCGTAATATACTATAAGATAAAGTAAGATTACGCTAATAAAGATAGCGCGTCACTAAAAAGTAAAAGAAAGAAAATGCTAATATTTAAGGAAGCAATCAAGCGACCATCTCTCGCGATAATGCTTCGTTATCGATTAATCATCCGTGGATATTAGATCAGAGTCGTTGCCGTTGCCTCGGAGCTGCATCAACGGACTAGTAATTTTCGAAATTAGTCAAATGGACGCGATGCGCTGCGTGGGGTCTTACGGAGAAAGATGGAGAGAATGCGAGCGGACGATTATGCGAGTTTAATCCCCGGCCACTACGGCAACTTGTCACGCGGAAGTCGGATCTGGTGGATGAGCGCGAGGCATTTCGTCAGCCAACGACGACGGCTGGGTGACACGGCTGGCGCGGTTTGGTTATCTTCATTGTCTCATGGTCGGGTTACGCGAACT